TTTTTGAACCAATTATACCGCACCAAACGTTGAAACTGAAACGGACTTGTGGGCCTCTTGGATGTACTAACAAAAGATTTTCTTTTGACCAATAATGGTGGTTTTTTCTATTAAACATTCCAGAATTTGAAAAATTAGATTCATCTGTCCATAAAAGGTAACGAAAGTTATTTACATTTTGGCGACAGAAGCTAAGATACCAATGGCAAAAAACAAGTCTTCTCTCTGGATCCCCTGCCAAAAGCGTTTGAACTGGTCGGTACTTATACGGAATAAATTTGTATTTTTTTAAAATCCTTTGAACAGTACCATAACTGAAATTAGAGTCCTTGAGAATATCTGCTATTGAATTCTCACGATAAGCTTCAATATATCTAATATTATGAATTCTTTTTTTGCCCTTGTTTTAGCAAAAACATTTTCGTTGCCCCTAAATTTTCGATAAAGTCTCAGAAAATATCGTTCATACGGTTGAATGCGAGCGGGATATAATTCACTGTAGTATTCTCTTGCTCTCAAGGAGGATTTTCTGCACACTAAATAGCATTCTAACATATCACACTTTTCTTCATGGGAGAACATTTTTCTTTAAATTAATGACACAATAAAGCTTATACACAAGTATTTACACTAATGTTTGACATTATTTGATTTTATCATTGTTTTCCAAAGCCTTCTAGTTGCGAGTATGTCCAGTTTAACAATTTGTCGCTTATCTTAATGCTGTCAAATCGCGAACGCCATATTGTTTTCATAGCCGTCTTAATATTATAATACTGCAAATAATTAAAAATATTTATCGTTATTTTGACTTTATTTTTGACTTTAGCGGAAAAGTCATTATGAACTTTTTTGTTTAAAATTTGATGCTTTAACAGAAAAAAATATAATATACAGGGGTTTCCATTTAAAAAAATGTTATTTTACTGAAAAAAATCAAAATAACGACTCTCAATTGTTTTTTTTTATTTCTCATTTTTACCAGCGTTAAAAATGCTACTAGTTTGCTAATTTAAACAACTTTGTATTTTTACTAATAACAAAGTTACCAATGGTGGACACTTAATTTGGATAACCCTGTAGAGATGCTTCTTCAGCAATGTAACTTTCCGTTGTGGGTTTTTAATACTTGAGAGACTGGCTACGGTTATACTCTGAGGTGGCAGGTGACAGATGACGGGTGGTAGGTGATAGGCGATAGACGCATTTGTACTTTTCATGATATCGGCTGTATCTGTATATCTTTACTGCGAATATTGACATGCAGAGACGCCAGAGCAGATAGAACAAGAGCATATTCAAATAGTATTTGGTTCGTTCTCAAAAAAAAAAAAATCGGAATTTATGTCCTTGATGATTCCTATTATAGTCGGATTGAGAGCTGAAATTTAGAAGATGATCTTATGGATGTGAATCACCAGGCATACCAAAATATGAATCTATTTTATTTCTATTAATATACCTCATAAATCATTCCCTCACTGTGTCCCAACCAGCAAATTTAAATATAGTTACAAATTTAATTCTAAAAAGCTCAATTGTTTAATGAGCTATCGTTTATTCATTTATAATAGTGTCAGCTTTCAAAACATGTATACACAGAAAAAATCATACAGAAAAAACACAATATCATTTTCTTGATATGTCCTTACAAAATGAATCATTCCCTCAAAGTTTGTATAACAGTGAAATGAAAGCATCATTTTCGATGGCATCTGAACGCAGCCATATACATGGGAACACTGATATTAAAAACAAGATGGCTTCCTAGACTGCGAGTGATGGAAGTTCTTGTTATACTATTTCCAAGTGATTCTTAATCAAATTTACATGTTTGCCTATCATACCTCATACAGTGTTACGTACAGGTAATTGTTTGTTTTCTTATTATTTATTGTTTGATTTTCTGTTTGGATAAATTTAGCAACAGTACAGTGTAATGTCTTGGAAAGACTGAAAAATAAATAATTTAAGAGACTGATATGTCATATACTTTGTTGGTGTAAGTGTCATTTATGTTCAATTGGAATATTCGTAAGATAATTTAGTAATTATAGTATAATAATAATATTTATTTACTCTAAAATACAGGGAACATGAAACGAGTAAATAAATATAATATATCCACAGGAGGACAACGCCTGTGCATGGATCATATGTATGTTGAATTGCAAAATATAATAAAATAGAGAGAAAAAAGAAATTATTGGTAAGAATGGTAGAGCATTTAGTGTGTAATATTTGAGATTATTTTATTAATTTGATTTCTCCCAATCGTGTTAATAAATTTTTTTAATTTTTTTTTGAAGCCTAATGTATTGCGTAATTGTTTTAAATTATTTGGTAAATGTTCGTACAGGAGCTATATACAGGTGACATCGTTTCATTAGGGATTTGTTTGGTTTAGGAACATTTTTTGCGCGTAATTTATATCTGGTTTTATGATTATGTTTAATTATGTCGTGTTCACTAATAGTTTTGTGATAATGAGTGATCGTATGTAAGAAGTAAAGTTGTTTAGTATCATATACTTGTGCATCATTATATAAGTCATTAGTTGGGTATAATTTTGATTTGCCTAACATTGATTTTAAAATTCTTCTTTGAAGTACATCTAAATCGTTAAAGTATGTCGTGCATGCAGCACCCCACACTACTATACCATATGTTATGTGTGGCTCGACTAAAGCTTGATATATTATTCGTAGATAATATTCAGTTAATATACCGGTTAGAAATTTTATTTTATATGCTATGAATCTAATTTTCTTTAGTATGTGAGAAATATGTACATCCCATCTCAAGTGGGGATCTAGATAAATTCCTAAATATTTTATATCATTAACTCTATTGATTTTTATATTTTTATCATTTACCTTAAACCGAAGGTGGTTATACTTTGGTAGATGATTAGATAGTGATGAAAATGGTAAAAAATGAGTTTTAGTAAAGTTAATTGTTAATTTTCGGTTATTAAACCACTGAATAATTTTGCAAAAGTCATTTTGGATAATATCTTTTAAGTCGTTCCAATCCTTACCTTTATAGAGTATAGCAGTATCGTCTGCAAAACTGACTATTTTACCAGTACTGTTAATTTTGAATATATCGTTTAAATAAATATTGAATAACAGAGGACCCAAAATTGTACCTTGTGGAACACCACATTTAACAAACATTTCTTTCTTCTTTACTATACGAGCTTAATAATTTTACTGATTGCGGTCTATTTGATAAATAATTTTCCATTAAAGTATACATCTTTCCACGAAAACCTATTCTTTCTAAGATTTCTAAAAGTATATTGTGGTTAACTGTGTCAAACGCTTTTTGTAAGTCCACAAATACGCATATCGATGGTACTTTTCCATCTATATTTTGGGTTATTTCATCTACTATACTTAATACCCCATCTGTTGTAGATTTGCCCGCTATAAAACCATATTGATTTGAATTTAGAATTTTGAATTTATTAAGAAAATTAATCATTTTATTAAGGAGTAATTTCTCAAAAACTTTAGCTAAACTTGTTATAAGTGAAATAGGTCTATAGTTAGTGACGTCCGTATTATCATTAGATTTATAGATAGGTATGATGATTGCTGTCTTGAAAGCTGATGGAAATACTCCAGTATGTGTTAATATTTTGTGCATTTTGTTGAAACAATGTTATAGTTTATTATCCACTGTAAAATTTTTGCAATAAATCAATTTGATTGAGGTTTTTTCTCTTTAAATCATGAAAAAATCATTACCTCACTGACCCATCATTCCCTCACTTTTGAATTTTAGTTTCAACCTCCTTACCCACATTAAACTCAGAAATGTTGGAGACCACTATAACCCTTGAAGGAGTTATTCCATCTCTATCCATCTCCAGAAGAAAATTACAAAATAAATAGCACGATGTTATCAAGATCATTTTATTATTATATTATATTTATTTCCCTTGAAAAGAATTCCCCAGCAAATTATTCCTACACAAATATGTCTGAAAGGTCTTAAAATCCCCACAAACTGAAAAATCACCTAATGCAGGAACACTGTTGCTACGACGCCAGGTGGCCCCGCCGCAGTACCACCGCAACCTGATACCTGCCACTTCTGAGTATACCCTCGGCCTCAGTACTGCCTGTTTACTACCCATGCAAATCCTAATATGCCTGTAATATCAGGGCGATTTCCTTTGTAGCTTATATATGTTTTCCTCATGACCGAAATAAGACGAACATTGCGGTGCAGCCCCAAAGTTTCTTCTTATCTTACTCTTGCGTCTTGCCGACTGGCCAGGTGAGGTTAAAGGTGATATTGCAGTTTGTGACACCCTGTTTCCAAAATATGTCATATACCTTCCAGTGACGTCACTGATCCTGATGCGATGTTAGTCTTGATACCGTACTGATTCACTCCCACATACACACAAGCCACAAGATAAAAAATGTTAAAAAGGATAAAATGTAAAATATTGAAAAGTAGGTTATAAGAAAGATATAAAAATCACAAAAGTAAAAACAACTGTAACATCGGCAACATGTGTACAAATTTTCAAACAAAGGATCAGGCTTTCCTAACATATTGCCGTTGAGCAATATTAATCTATTTTTTAAATGAAATGTTACATATTTTATTACATGTTTTGATTGATAGGTCCTTCAAGTCAATAATATTACTACATCATTTAGTTGATCAGATGCAGAGTTAAAACCATTTTATGTATAAAAACGCTCATCTTTGACAGCTGATATAGTCATAAAATAATGGTAAGGGGATTCAAAATGAGGTATCTCATCACCCCCCATTTCATTTAAAAAAATATTCCGCGATGGCGGTCAACTGTCATCTCGGAATTGTCCACTATCACCATATGCTAACCAGTTCAAACAGTTAGTGCTAAGTCTGATCCTTGTGGAATACCTCGGCTGAATGGAATGTGTATGTTGCCGATGTGGAGTTGTCAAGCAGATATAGGTGGGAAAAAATGAAGATGGGCCCCAACGTACCCAACAACCGTGGGCCCTTGTGGGGGCAATGGCCCCGAGGAACACCTTTGAGGCCGACGCTTGTAGAACTCCACCTCGTCCACAGTCCAAACTGCACCTTTAACATTCTCCACACGCATGAAACATTTGTGGAGTGACAGGTTGTGACGTACTGCGTTCTAACAACAAATTAAATATGGCCAAATAAAAAAAACGGAGCTAGTCTATGGTCCCAGGCAGCCAAACAGTCTTACTTTTTTGCTTGTATAGCCTTACGAACTGACGTAGAGAAAATATTTGCAAGGATGATATAGTCAAAATGGATTTACTTAGGCCCTATTGGACTCTTTGTACGTTCTCCGTGAGGGCTGCTTCGCCATATATAGCCATAGAAGGTCAGCGTTCCCCTAGAATGATTGTTCGAATTGACATATTGTCTGTGCAGTCGCAAAGCGAGTGCCTAACTGCCCCATCTTACTGTTGATATCTCCTACATGAGTAAGGCCCGGTTTTTCAGTCACTGGTTAACTACGATCTTGATCTTAACTTATACAGGGTGACTTCGAAGTTGAGTCATTTATTTTAACAGTGAGTAGATCTGATCAAAAGAAATGTTTTTTTCCTTTAACATTTTTGTGGTAAAACTAAAGTAACAAAGTTATAGCCCTTTAGAAGTTTGAGTACCGCCCTGTCTCAATAATAATATTATGTGCTCGTGTTTAGGAACAACGTATATAATCCGCCTTATCGGTTCATCGCATCGGAAACAAAAAAGCGAAAGAATTTGAAACGCTGATCACGATGTTTTTATTCAGTCAATGTGTCAGTCGGTAACGCGTGAGTGAATAGTGGTGTTTGCTGCGTGGCTCAAACGAAATAAAAAATGGCACATGTTTATGCGGATCGGTTTCCCAATCGAGTGCAACCAACCCCTCGTGCTTTTGTTAATGTAGTACAACGGGCTCGTGAATCAGGTGACTTAAGACCTCACAGGGGAGGGCATGCCGGTGCTCCAAGACCTCACGATCAAATACAGGTCCGCACTGAAATACTTGTCGGGAGGATACTTTATAAAACAAGGTAAAATTTTTTTTAATTTTTTTTTTATTTTTACACACATATTTTGGTTTATCTCCCTTCTACAATCATTATCTGAAAATTAATGACTCATCTTCAAAGTCACCCTGTATACCAAAGCGGACTGGGATAAATATAGGAAATCAATATCGCAATACTGACTTTGCCAGTTTGAGGGTATTTAAACTAGTTGAACATTATTTTACTCGTGAATCGAGAAAGCAAACACTTTTCATTATTATTTTGCATTACTTTGTAAGGTTCTGAAAAACCAAAACGTCCAAATTTTATCATTAAAAGGCTACCTAAATTACCGACCAGAAAAGAAAAATCTTTCTGCCGTCGATGACAGCCTGTGATGATAACTGTCACAGCCTATTGTGAATGTTAAATTTTTCCTTGAATATTCCTCAAGCAAATATTGTTTGTTTAAGATCCAGGGTGAGATCATTCCTCAAGAGACGTTTATAAATGTGTCTCATAGAGATGCTTCCTTAGTTGACGGTGTCCAGTTGCAATGTTAGTATCAAACTGAAACTGTAACGAATAACAGTCATTCCATACATGTTTGAAGACGTTGTAATGGCTCTTTTTGCTTAGATGCCATGGTTTTGATAGATTAAATGCAAGGGATCTTTGAACTTTGATATCAGATCGTAAGACTATACTATACGAACATAAGAAAGCATTAACTATGTAAAAGGTAGTTATTAAAAATATCAATAAAAACATTTATATAACAGAAAAAAAAACATACAAAGCTTAAAGCTCAAAAAGTAACTAAATGATTCTTAATCATTTATATTCATCAATACATTACCAATCATAATTGCTCTAGAAAAATCAAGATTAATATTGACATTACAGTAGAAAACAAATAACTACTCCAATAATTATTTTATTTTTTGGACTGAGCTATAATCGCGTTATAATATTTTGTGATCGAGGTACATAGTATGAGAGCACAGAGAACTGCAAATTTTAAATTTTAAATGATTTTCCAGTGGCAGATTTGTTTCAGATTTTTAACTCGGGAAAAAGTTGCATAGAGTTGGAAAAAAGACTTAAGTACACTGTCACAAAAAATATATTCCCGTAGATCAAAAAATATGTAGAGAATCCAAAAGTTGAAGTTTCAGCGATTTTAGCTCTACGCGAATTTTTCGGAGTTACAAATTTTATTTAAATATCTTGATTGGAGTAGTTTAAGAATCGAAAAATACGAGTACATCACAAAATGACCAAGGTAAAGAATTGTAAATGTGAGATTGTGTCACTTAAGAAATTAAAAACAACCAACTTTACGGGTTATATTTATTATTGACGTTTTTGGAGATGCTTATTAGGCTGTTACTGCTGTCAGTGCGGTCTCTTCTGGAATCCCAACTTTCTTTCGATAACGCATCAGCAGCACCCGAAACATGTGAATAGTACTCGAGGCTAGGACTCATCTGGGCCTTGTATAGATTGAGGAGGTTATTTGGAGTACTCCCCCTAAGCAAATAGCATAGCTGCTTTTTCCAGCAGCTGCCGCTACTGACGAGATGTGCCAGATCAAGCTCCATCGAAACAGGATGTGCGCTAGGGCGCTTCTTGTCAGACAAGGTACAGTACTGTGTTTTTGAAGCATTAAACTGTTTTGTCCCCAGGCACTCTGGCAGCTCTGGCATTTTTGAAATTCAGCTAATTAACCAAATAATCCTGATATGTTCCAGCATGATAAAATGTACCGCTCAAAGTGCACGGATGCCTCGAAGAAAATTATAATTCTAAAATGGACCACGTTACTGCCAGGTCAGCTGACATTTGAAAAACTACTTTTCGAAAAGAAAAGTCGCGGATTTTTGTTTGATAATAATTAAGACAACCCGGCAAAGTTGATTCTTTTTTCATGCTTTTGAAAAAAAGTACCTCTTAATTAATAACTAATTTTTTGCGAACTATGCTATGATATTAAAAAGGCTAGTGATGGAGGACATTTGTCGAGCAATCGCCGGCGTACTAAGTGACACAACCTTTACTTTACATTCTTCGTCAAGGTCTAAAGGTTAAGATAAAGAGGTCATACAGTACCTTCCAGGTTGCCGCGTTTCTCCTAAAATAGCAAAATGTGTTTTGGAACCAGTTGTAGATTTCGTTTAGTGTCAACTGCTTATCGGGCGATTCTATGATGGACTAAAATTTAAGTTGATGTCAGATTTTATCAACATCTTTTTTTTTGGAAAACTAACCTGGCGTATGAGAGATGCATATGTGAATGGTGGCCTCACGTCTGCATTTTTATAGAACTCCCTATTTCTTTGGATTTCTGAAAATTTTTACAATATTTATGCTGTATTGGGGAGACAAACGAAACTATAGTAGGAATTTATAAAACTGTTCTAAGTTATAAGCGGATAGGCGTCGAGTGATGCGAGATTCTGGCGGCACAGCGTCGAAATGCAGATGACGCAGAACACCATTATAATTTCGTAGTATAGTCTCAGACAACATTTACGTTTTGAAGAACCTGTCTCCAAAAATCAAACACCTTACATACGAGTACGTTCCCAACTCTGTCATTTTAATATGTTGAAATTATGCTTTTTTGTGTAATACCTTGTTGTACGTCTAATCCTGCTCGTTCTAGCATGTATGGTAAACCTTCATTGCAGCATGGAAGATATACATCAAATGAACAAATATCATTCATAATATTTAATATTTTTTTAACCAGTGCTTTTCAAACAGCCTCTCTCACTTATTTTTTGAGCGGGTGAACTACCTGAAACATAATCTAGGATCTACGGTGATAAGTTGCTGATAAAGATTTCCAAGATGAGATATCACACGAGTCTTCCTTCCTTTTAAAAAAGGCGCCCAGTTCAAAAATTAGTAGCGGGATCTTTTTTGAAAAGCACTGTACGCATGCTTCGTTTGAGAAGGCCATTATTAATCTCATACATTAGCGCTCTACCAATAATGACCTACTTCTCAACGTGAGTATGTAATATTGTGGGTGGGCCATGCTAATAAATAAACAGTTATTAAAAAAAGGCAGCGCAAAGCACCATTCATCACACCGGAATCGGATACTGCTATTACTTGGAACTGTTAGGAATATCACTTCATGTTCTACAGGGTGACTTCGAAGTTGGGTCATTTATTTTAACAGTGAGTAGATCTGATCAAAAGAAATGTTTTTTTCCTTTAAAATTTTTCTGGTAAAATTAAAGTAACAAAGTTATAGCCCTTTAGAAGTTTAAGTACCGCCCTGTCTCAATAATAATATTATGTGCTCGTGTTTGGCAACAACGGATATAATCCGCCTTATCGGTTCATCGCATCGGAAACAAAAAAGCGAAAGAATTTGGAACGCTCATCACGATGTTTTTACTACAATTTTATTCAGTTGTATTCAGTCAATGTGTCAGTCGGTAACGCGTGAGTGAATAGTGGTGTTTGTTGCGCAGGGGGGGGGGTCTTTACAAAATGCTGCCGCAGCATCACGGATTTATGCGGATCGGTTTCCCAATCGAGTGCCTTTGTTAATGTAGTACAAAGGGCTCGTGAATCAGGTGACTTAAGACCTCACAGGGGAGGGCGTGCCGGTGCTCCAAGACCGCACGATCAAATCCGCACTGAAATACTTGTCGGGAGGATACTTTATAGAACAAGGTAACATTTTTTTTTATTTTTACACACATAATTTCGGTTTATCTTCCTTCTACAATCATTATCTGAAAATTAATGACTCAACTTCAAAGTCTAGTCACCACGTGATCGCTAGGTGGCTGACGATTCTGGCTGTAAAATAGGTGTGGTACACTTGCCACTGAATAAAACTAAACATGATGCTTCCGTCCATCCGACCAAAAAGACCGTCATGTTTAGTCCTGTCTACTTTTATCAAAAAGTGGTCTTTTTACGCAAGGCCAAAAAGTTCCCGATGACGGTAAAAATCTACAATTGAAGAAAGGGGGAAGGATTATCATTTTAACGTCGACGACCGATTTCAAAGAAGATTGGCAAAATAATGATACAAGGGATTCGCTGCTGAGTCTGTGTCTTTGATTTCGAAGCACATAAGTATGGGTAGAAGGAATTTGTCATCTCCTGGCAATAACTCCGAGTTTTTAATAATTGCCCTTTACAAGAAGCATGACCTTTCATGGCTCACCCACCTCACAATATTTTTCTTAGTAACGGTACATCATGCAGACTCACCACCAGCCAATGATAACGCCGATTTGTCACTCAGCCTTCGCCTTATTGGTCCAGGGACATTAGGAGCTGGTGAATGTAAGGCCGGTGATCTGACAGCAGCACCGACAATGGGCCCCATGGATGGGACAGGCCCTGATGCGGCACCCGATGTGGGGACCCCAGGGCCCATCTTTCCGCAGCTGTCTTTGTGGGGGTCTGGGGACCCCATCTGCTTAGAAAGGTGGAGGTGATGCATCATGGCCTGGAGACGGTCGCGTTCTTTTTGAAGCTGGAGTTCTAGTTGGGACACGACTTGCATCTGGACTCGCGCCTGAGCTGTCGATCGGTCGTCTAGAGTGTGTTCTGTGTTAAGGTGTCTGAAACAAATGAATGGCGTCAAGTAGATTGATCCTGTATTTCCCACGAAATTCTATCAAGTTGATTATTTTCAATGTATTTACAAAACTATACTAAGTGACATATAAATCCGAACACCCAGTTTAAATGGTTTTATTTTAATAAAAGCTGGTGATGTATTTATCTTACTGTAAATAACAAGTGAAAAAATTTTCAGCCTTATCAATTGGACATTCCGGTTTTTATACTGCTTTTTTTTAATTCACTAACGCTCTAAAAATGAATATTTCAGCCGCAGTAAAGAATCAACGTTGGCGGATTTTGGTCCTTGACATCCTTTACGATCGGTTACGATGCCTAGAGTACGGAGACCTGTACGATTTCGTCAACTTAGTGAGTTTGATAGGGGCCGTATAGTGGGACTTCGGGAAGCTGGACTTTCTTTTCGGGCAATTGCAGTTAGAGTGCAAAGAAGTGTAGACACTGGTTAGGTGTTGTCAGGCATGGCTTCGAGAAGGCCGTACGCAAAGAGCAAGGGGCACTGGACGCCGCCGTAGAACAACAGACCGTGAAGATCGCCGCCTAAGATTATTGGCCTTAAGGGACCGTTTCTCCACTACCAGGTCCATTGCAAATGAATGGTTTGCAAAACACGGAAGACCTATTGGCATGCGAAGTGTTTACCGACGAATGAGAAGTTTTGGCTTGTTTTCATACCGGCCACACTGGGTCCTCCCTTTAACTCGAGAACACCGACGTAATCGCCTTGAGTGGTGCAGACAACGGTCACTCTGGGATCAGGAATGGAACAGTATTGTCTTTAGTGACGAGTCTCGATTTTGTTTAGGCATGCACGATGGTCGTGCCAGGGTTAGAAGGCGACGTGGTAAAAGGAGGAATCCACAGTTATTTGTTGAAAGACATGTTCATCAGACTGTTGGAGTTATGGTTTGGGGTGCTATAGCTTATGGTTCCAGGTCACATTTAATCTTCATCAGAGGTAACATGAACGCGCAGCGTTATATCCACGAAGTTCTAGAACCCCATCTTTTACCCTATCTTGACACCCTGGCAGATCCAACTTTCCAACAAGATAATGCCCGACCACATGTTGCAGGAGTCACAATAGACTTCTTTCAACATAATGATGTCACATTGTTACCATGGCCACCAAGATCTCCCGACTTATCCCCAATTGAGCACGTGTGGGATATGATGGGTAGGAGATTGCTCAATTTGCAACGTCTTCCTCAGACTCTAGAAGCACTTCGAGAGGAGTTGGTGGTTGCCTGGAATGAGATACCACAGGAGGACATTGACCACCTGATCAGAAGCATGCCTAGGCGCGTTGGAGAATGCGTAGCACATCAGGGTGCATCCACACATTATTAAAGGTCAAAGGGCTTTGAAGCAGTGCAATCATTTTGAAATTTTTACTTATTCTGCTTCATTAAGTACTTATACAAAATTTTATTAAAATAAAACCATTTAAACTGGGTGTTCGGATTTATATGTCACTTAGTATATATGAATTATGCAATTGCATGTGAAGTAAGGAGTCAACCTACTTGGAACACATTGCTAGAAGACTGATTTTTTCATTTGTGTTTATACAGTGTTACCCAATATTTCTTGGACATAGAAATATCACATATTTTTAAATAAGTCGACTGGTTTATCTCTAGGCAGAAGTGCTTTGTATCGTATTTAAAACACATTTTTTGAGATACTTTCGGAACCGATAGTCAGATTTGAATCAAATTTGGAATACATGTGTTTTGCTAGACATCCTAACATTTGACTTTTACAAAAAACCCGAAATGGTTCGAGAAGTGTGAAAACTACCCTCACCCCTACATAAATTGTAGCACAACTTTTTCGCAACTCTCCCAACGACTGAATTGTTTTTATTAAAAAGATCCTCTTATTTACAAAACATACAAAAACAGGCCCATCTCGCATAGTTTTTGAGGAAAAAATATTTTTTCGAAGCTGGTAACTAAAAAATGTTCTTATTATATCAAGTGTTAAAATCTAGTTGGTCTCTAGCTGGCAGAAATGTGGGATGTTATGCCAGTTTTAGATTATTTTTGATAACAAGATTCATTAAGTTAAAAGTAATAAGTAATGTTTGAGTTTATTTTTGATTGTTATTTGTTTCACACAAAACTTGTACGGTTTTGAGATAATAAAGTGATGATGACCTTGAGTCTCGACCTTGAAAAACATTCCCAGGTTCAGTGAACATTTTAAAGTCCCCCTGTTCTACATCGGAATTGAAAATAGGAGGAAGGTCTACGTCCGAATATGTCTATCACTATGACCTTGATTATTTCCTTCAAGGTCATTTCAAGGTCTGATCTAGACGTTGGAAATAATTTGCTCCAGCAAAAGAGTTGGCCAGCACAGATGTGAGGTTTGTGGGGATCACTCAAATGTGACCTTCACCATGATCTGCAAGGTAAAGTCAGAATTTTGAAAGGAAATCTCCTATTTTTAAACTGGACATAGAAAAAGCACAAAATTTTACGTCTGAATGTGACATTGACCTCAAAGTCAAGGTCTTGTCGAGCTTCAATGATATTCAATGCTCGCGCATTTGAACGTCGCTGATTTTTCCAGTATAAAAATGGGAATTGAGACTTTACCTTGGAGGTCATGGTCAAGGTCGTGGTCAAAATAACCTTTGAGTGATCCCCAAAAGCCTCACAACTAACGTATTATGTCGAAGATATTTGCTAGAGAAAATTGTTTTCGATATCTTGATTTGGCTTTGAAGGCCATATAATCTAGGTCATGTCCAAGATGATATTTGAACGTAAGATTTCCTCCTCTTTCCAATAACGATGTGAAAAAGGGGGGTTTCATTTGAAAATATCTCTTTGATCTCTTTGATCTTGGAATGACCTTCTTTTGTTTGGAACTTATTTAACAGAATAATAAATATATGTGCAATTCATTTCCTGTTGCGTCTTTTACCGAAGAAATGTAGAAGTTTTCTATACAAGTCCAACAGTCTCATTAAACCATACCGCGTCACGAACAAAACAAAATTGTATTTCTTTCAATAAACTTTGTACACCCATGTATTCTCTATATTTTAGGTGTGCAAAATTATGAAAAAGTCTTGTTGTCGACGGGCATACAAATTATTACAATTTTCTGTCCTTTGATTACTGAGCATGGACATGCGAATTTATACATTTTATGGTATTTCTTTGCCCCTGAGCTTTATCTCATGCAAGATTCGTAGGTTCATAATTATCTAGCGAATAAGCACACTTGTGGGTATATCCATACTTTTTACCAAACCAATTAAAATGAAACCACGGAATTCCCAGTCAATTGTTGATGTATCCTTATAGTGAAGACGCCTTATTTGCTCTATTTGGAGTGACAGAAAGGTTGTCAGACAACAAAGAAAGATGTCTTTTATCGATCTCAGGCCCTATATTACCCATAGCTGTCTACTAGTTTGCCTGCAACCTTTTATATTGGAAACACACCTTTAGGGCTCCGCCACTGGTTGAGTAATTCGCTAATCCAAGATTTTGATAATTAGATAATTGAAATATCGTCGGAGAAAACGAACAAAAGAATGTACTTTTCCAGAGGCGAAACAGACCTGACGCAAAACCGATTTTTCATTAATGCAATTTTCGTGGAGTACGTTTCAAAAAAGAAAGGAAACGTCCACGCCTTGGTTCATCAATAAATAGCAGCCCTTCGCCAGGATCGGGCACAGATGGAAAAAGAAGAAAACAAGTGTTGATTGTATTGAGCGGCAGATTTTTTATGTCATTTACCTTAGGAAGGAACGAGACAATCCAATCAGTGGTGGAGGTTTCACTGACACATTTTTTGGAGGACGCTTACAGGTTTAGGATACGTTGTATTTAAGTGAACATCAAGTTTCGATTCCGTTTAAGTCTTTCGCTTCTCACCCCAACTAACAATTTATCCTAACAACGTTTACAGAACTATTTTTGTTTATTTACAAATCCAAAAAGGGCGCACAAAGGGAGCAAAATTTTCAAGCACCTCGAGTAAGTTAGTTATTAGTGAACTTCAAGAGAAAAGGTCAAATATTACATTATGCATTCTGGCCCCGCCTACGAGATCCGCCGGGTGGTACCTCCGCGTTCGACAGTCAAAGACCGTCTACCACCTACAGACAATCACAAAATCCATAGCCAAGAGAAGAACTTCTCTTGGTACGGGATTCGAACCCGCGTAGCGCACGACGACCGATTAGGAGACCGGAGGTCTACCACTGCGGCCACCGCTGCTGCCTTAATTCATGTGTATATTTTAGTTAAACAGAGATGTATTGCAGGAAAAAAGGGTTAGTGTAAAAAAGTCTATGCGTGTATACAGGATGCTAAAAATTCGATGCATTAGCATAGCTATCTTGTTAACCGGTAAAGATACGGAAATTGATCCAAGCACGTGGATTTCAATGCTTGTTGGTAACTAGCGAGGATATTTTATAATTTTCAATTGTCCGTGCTATTTTATTTTGGAATTGCTGTATTACTGCTCTTAGAACGCAATTGTGTTTTTATAAAATTGCCAGAAAGGCAATTAAAATATGAACATCTTTCAAAAGTAACCATAAACAATTAAACATTTGTCAAGTCGTGGTGCCAGCTCTTGTATTCCATCGTGGAAGAACGCTGCTGCCTGTCCGTTAAGCCAGTTGCTTCCTATTTCTTTTAACATGTCATTTTCCAAGCACTTTCAACCAAGAGATTCCTTAAGTTTAGGAAAAAGTCGGCAGGAGCTAAGTCAGAGCTGTATGATAGATGACCCAGTAATTCCCAATGCCCAATTTCGTCAGTATCCTTGCCGCAACCTGAGGCCGAGCGTTGCCGTGAAGCAGAACAATGCCGCTAGAGAGCAGTTTTCGGCGGCGGTTTTGAATACCAGAATAGCGCGCCTAAGTTAGCAGGAGTACTGTCTTACATTTGCTTTCTTAATTTGCTGGTTGACACCACAACCAACACCGACAGAGACGAGATGCGTCACGTGACACGATGCGCAATCGGTACACTTTAAAAATGGCCCCTTATTGATACAATATCTTGAACAACTAAACATTTTGGATATATCTATAAATTGTGGGTAAACGCAGGTACTACCTTAAAGATACTATGGTTGGTATCGGCGTGAGGGATAAAAGCACGTCTGGGAAGAAGTCAGTCAACATTAATTTTGGCTATACTTAGCATTTTATAAGCTAATTAATATGTAAAAGGAAGGGGGAATTAACAAAACCATCAAATTACAATATTTTCAGCGTCCGCCTTTACCGCGACAAAAGAAAAAGCGCAAAGCGACCTAAGAATAAATTAAAGACGACATCGAGGTTTAAAAACTCTAATTACGCTATGTTTAATTAATATGCAAGGCGTTTGATTGCCACGTTGCTAGATTTTATGTTAATCTGAAGGCCTGTGTCTTTATTGCATCCGGCTTTTTTGTTAAGACTTGGAGGGGCGCTGATAGGATACAGACCAGATCCGCTGTTTGAAGAAAGCAAGGGACGTCCCCTTCTCTAACATCCGACACTTTGTTTCCTAACTGATACAATGCCTTGGCAGATAATAAAAAATAGCGTCAAGTAGGTTGACACTGCACTTCCCACCGCTGTTTTCAGTTCAGAAACGTTTATGATAGACACGAGTAAGCCTCTATGAGTTAGCTACGTACATGTCCAACAAGAAAACCAAATGGATCAAGTCAGACAAACACGTCCATCCAATTAGTCCATAGTCCCAACAGATTCAATAACGCAGCCATCTAGATAGTTCTCTCCTGCCCTACCGACAGTATCGACCAACAGGCATCGTTGTTGAACCACGCTTAAAGGTTTAATCGAAAAATATCGTTCCAAAACAATGCGATGATCACGGTACGGCGTCGTCGAGCGCACTGAGAACACACGGCCACTTCCACGTGCCGGTCTAGTGTGAATTGGTTCATCCAAATTCCAGGAAGAATCTTTTAAGTTTTGTCGGGAGGATCACGTGCGGATCACAGCACTGTCACGTCACGGCTGAGTATAAATAGGCCTTTACTGAGGACGCAGTGACCAGCTACTGCACATCCGCGGGGTGTCTGAGTTTATAGTAGTCCGCTTGAATCTGCAGGTATCTGTTTTTTTTATAAAACAGGATTTTTATGAATGATAGTAGGATAGATTTTAGCTGGGTTGCCTGGAAAATTATTATGTATAATAACTGACATATAAATCCGAACACCCAGTTTAAATGGCTTTATTTTAATAAAAGTTGGTGAATGTATTTATCTTACTGTAAATAACAAGTGAAAAAATTTTCAGCCTTATCAGTTGGACATTCCGGTTTTTATACTGCTTTTTTTTAATTCACTAACGCTCTAAAAATGAATATTTATTAAAGAATCAACGTTGGCGGATTTTGGTTCTTGACATCCTTTACGATCGGTTACGATGCCTAGAGTACGGAGACCTGTACGATTTCGTCAACTTAGTGAGTTTGATAGGGGCCGTATAGTGGGACTTCGGGAAGCTGGACTTTCTTTTTGGGCAACTGCTGTTAGAGTGCAAAGAAGTGTAGACACTGTGGTTAGGTGTTGTCAGGCGTGGCTTCGAGAAGGCCGTACGCAAAGAGCAAGGGGCACTGGACGCCGCCGTAGAACAACAGACCGTGAAGATCGCCGCCTAAGATTATTGGCCTTAAGGGACCGTTTCTCCACTACCAGGTCCATTGCAAATGAATGGTTTGCAGAACACGGAAGACCTATTGGCATGCGAAGTGTTTACCGACGAATGAGAAGTTTTGGCTTGTTTTCATACCGGCCACACTGGGCCCTCCCTTTAACTCGAGAACACCGACGTAGTCGCCTTGAGTGGTGCAGACAACGGTCACTCTGGGATCAGGAATGTCAGTATTGTCTTTAGTGACGAGTCTCGATTTTGTTTAGGCATGCACGATCTTTTACCCTATCTTGACACCCTGGCAGATCCAACTTTCCAACAAGATAATGCCCGACCACATGTTGCAAGAGTCACAATAGACTTCTTTCAACATAATGATGTCACATTGTTACCATGGCCACCAAGATCTCCCGACTTATCCCCAATTGAGCACGTGTGGCATATGATGGGTAGGAGATTGCTCAATTTGCAACGTCCTCCTCAGACTCTAGAAGCACTTCGAGAGGAGTTGGTGGTTGCCTGGAATGAGATACCACAGGAGGACATTGACCACCTGATCAGAAGCATGCCTAGGCGTGTTGGAGAATGCGTAGCACATCAGGGTGCATCCACACATTATTAAAGGTCAAAGGGCTTTAAAGCAGTGCAATCATTTTGAAATTTTTATCATTTACTTATTATGCTTCATTGAGTACTTATACAAAATTTTATTAAAATAAAACCATTTAAACTGGGTGTTCGGATTTATATGTCACTTAGTATATATATATAAATCAAGTTTTATCAAAAATTCAGATATCTGCAGATTTGCCCTGGTTGACATGGAATAGCATTTGTCCGCTATTCAATATAATACAGTTATAGCCCAGTAGATTTTTGTTTCACCACAAATGGTCAAAGTTGAGGAAACAATATAGTATATGGAGTGTCTTCTAATAAAGCCAAGCATCTTATTCATTGCATTACTGGTTACATCTATATGGATTTCTTATCTAGTCCAACACCCAGGTCCCGAATATAAGAATTAATATTGACATTCTCTATCTGATAGGTAAAGTTAATTGAAAAACATCTCTTAGTGTTGAGTGGCAGGTTATTTTTCTGACAATAGTTGTTCAATTTGTCGATATTAGATCTTCTTTTCTTTCAACTATATGATACATCTTCAAGGCATCTGCGCAAAGAAGAATTTGGCAATAGCTGAAATATTGTGCGACATCATTTATATAGATTAAGAAGAATAATGGACCTAGGTGGCTACCATGAGGAACTCCCGATGATGAAGCAACGACACTTTATAAGAGAGCTACAAACACCGACCTCAGCAAGTTTTGTTAATATCAAACTACGATTAACTCGATCAAAGTCTTGGTGAAGTCGGTATAAGCTGTAGATCAGATATATCGTACAGGAAAGGAGTAAGGATGTTAGCACTTACTTCATAAACGTCTGTAGATCATCACAAATGGCTTCACAACCAGGCCACCTGCAAACACCATGGCCATAGAGATGGTGAACTCTATCAGGAGTCGTTGTCCTTTCAGGTTTATCTTCTATCGAATCTTCACGACTTGTTCGACCCGTAGACATTCCCAAGAGACTAGCGTTTGGGTTTTCTGAAACAAAAAAGCGCTCTATAGGATACTGTACGAGGGTTGATCTCAATGCTTCGCATCTGACTACTTTGCAGATACCTATTGTTGTTGACATTTAAAATATCAAGTCTATACGTCAAATCGTTTTGATGCTGTAATTGGTATGTGTAGCAATGATTTCTGCAAGAAAGGGCACGGCACCCACTAAGATCCATGAGAATATTCTGGCAACTCGATTGTCGGAGGATGTGCATTTTCTTATCAGTGATACTGGTGTCGAGATTATGAGTGACTCGGTTTACCAAAATATTGAAAAAGTGCATTGCCTTACGAGATTACCGTGTAGCATTCATTACCGGGGCCTTTTATTCAAATCCAATCTCAGCTAAAAGAATAAGACCAGAAGGTTTGCGTGAACTTTGGTGTTCTTCATCCAGGTTTCAAGTCCGACTGTGACGCAATCGCACCAAAAAAACATGCCTTGTGACGTAGGATGGACGATGTTGACCCACTCCGAGTTTTTCGGAACTTAATATCGGTTATTTTAAGGATTTGGTATACAACGGGATTATCTTCCAGGAGTTGAGTTTTGTCAAACAATGTTACAGAGACACCAGGAAGAGATGAGTTTCATTTAAAAGAGATGGTTAAATGAATCTAGACAACTTTCACGAGGGGCATGTAGAAAATCCACATTTGATGAGACAAGATAGAACACAGTATCGTTTTAAAGTAAACATGTGGACCGGGATTCTAAATGGGAGAATCATTGTACCCTTTGAGCTGCCAGAGTTGTTGAATGGCAAAATTTATTAGGATTTAACGAAATCAGTTAAATTTATTGAACGACGTGCCACTAAGCGTTTACAGAAGCATATGGTACCAGCAAGAAGGCTGCTCGTCGCACTATGACCACTCAGTGCGGAGTACTGGAGTTCCCAAGCACAGGGATAGGGTGGCGTGGTGCAATTTCGTGGCCAGCCCGTTTACCTTTTTTTTATACTCCAACTACCACGAAGGCCTAAGGCATAAACACCCATTGGTACCGTGGGGCTATAGGGGGATACAGGGGAAAGGGGGGACGCCACACGGACTCTGGCGAGGGAACACGTGTGCATGCAACATGCACACATTCTGGCTCCGCCTATGAGATCCGCCGGGTGGTACCTCCACGTTCGACAGTCAGAGGCCGTCTACCACCTACGGACAATCACAACATCCATAGCCAGGAGACCGAAGAGTCTCCTACTGCGGCCACCGCTGCTTGCCTGACTTGAATCCACTCGATTTTTTTACTGAGGAGCGGTGAAAGAAAAAGTTTAACAAAAAACAATCGAAAATTTGGCTGCGAGACAGAATAACGGAGGCCGCTGAATTTGTTAATAAAGGAAGATTCGCCCATCTGAAAACCCGATCATTTCTGGGATGCCAAGCTTGCATTGCAGCTGACCGAAAGCAGTTTGAACATATTATATTGTGAATTTAATAACTACATTTACAAATTAATAACAGTGGCGTTACTATCTGTCTTGTTGTCACTACGCAGAATGACAAAAGTTTATCGAAGGCTGTAGACTTGTCCGATTTTTCCGATTATATTTACTTGAAAAGTACACAACTTTGATTTTTTTTATATTATTCTGATAACTTTTATGACTTGGCCTATCCCCTGATCCCAGCTTCACGTTGACTTCTGGGACAACCTGTATGTGTTACTAGGACGGCTTGCTTATTGTTGCCTAAATTACAGGGTGGCTTCGAAGTTGAGTCATCTATTTTAACAGTGAGTAGATCTGATCAAAAGCAATGTTTTTTCCTTTAACATTTTTCTGGTAAAATTAAAGTAACAAAGTTGTAGCCCTTTAGAAGTTTGAGTACCGTCTCAATAATAATATTGTGTGCTCGTGTTTGGCAACAACGGATATAATCCGCCTTATCGGTTCATCGGATCGAAAACAAAAAAGCGAAAGAATTTGGAACGCTTATCACGATGTTTTTACTACAATTTTATTCATTTGTATTCAGTCAATGTGTCAGTCGGTAACGCGTGAGTGAATAGTGGTGTTTGTTGCGTAGCTCAAACGAAATAAAAAATGGCACATGTTTACGAAAATGCTGAACTTGTGCAACCAACCCCTCGTGTCTTTGTTAATGTAGTACAAAGGGCTCGTGAATCAGGTGACTTAAGACCACACAGGGGAAGGCATGCCGGTGCTCCAAGACCGCACGATCAAATACAGGTCCGCCCTGAAATACTTGTCGGGAGGATACTTTATAAAACAAGGTAGCATTTTTTTTTATAATTTTATTTTATTATTACACATATATTTTGGTTTATCTTCCTTCTACAATCATTATCTGAAAATTAATGACTCAACTTTAAAGTCAAGTTCAAGTTCAAGTTTATATGCTGTATAAAGGAAAGTCTCAACCTTAAGGTGTATATGAGCTTTTCGTAATATTTTTGGACCGTTATCTAATAAGCTTTTTTGCAAGAAGCTGCTTATGACTGCACTATAAACTATTTTCTACAACGTCGTATAGTGTAAAGGCACTTTAACCCTGATGCAATGAAACTTTTCATTCTAGTCAGCAAAACTTCCGAAGACGACAGTCGCTATTGAAACGTCGAAGGCATAACAGTAAAATATACAGCGTATTGTTAGGAAAGTATTAAAGTTCTGGCAAGAATACTCGAAAAACACATAAAAAGCTATCACAGTCTACTTCGGCGTTAATCGATACATTGTAATGAAAGAGGGGTGAAATATATACACATGTGAGACAAGGCAGGTCGAAGCGAAACACTGGAAAGTGCAAATGAAATTAGTAAAAAAGGTAAACCCCTACGTATGTTTATCCGATTTTGTTAATATTTCGCATATACAGGGTGGCGGATCGAAAACGAAACAGACGCATTTACTGGCAGCTCAGTTTTTTTTTGGAAAAACGCTCAGACCCGTCGATTTTGTTTTCGAGGGGGACACAAGTTTGGAAAAAAATCACGTTAGCACGTGCAGCCCCCTAAGCGGGGGTGACAACACCCCCAAAATCTTAAATGGAAAAGGGGGTCGAGTGATACCTTATTTTAAAGGTATTTCAATTCCCTTTATAATGATATAAAATCAATGTACTTTAGTTCAGTAGTTTTGAAGATTTATTGATTTAAAGCTTAAATAAAACTACTACATCATCATTAGTGGAGATCAATACATTTGGCAGCAAAGCAATTTAAAAATGAAGAATGAACTGACCTGTTAGGCAAGTAAATGTTGAAAATGGCCACCATGACTTTCTATGCAATAATAAACATTTTGCTCAAAACTTTGCCGCACATTTTGCAATATTTGAGGAGTAATTTGAAGGCACTCATTCACAATACTTTGACGCAGGTCTTCTAATGATGTTGGCTGAGTAGCAAAGATTTTGCTTTTTAAATGAAATTCAAAGGTGATTGGAATTTTCAAAAAACATTGCATGGTTTACCTTAGGTAATTTTGTTATACCAAAATTTGAATGGCTAAGCACCAAGGTCTCATATATTGTTTTACTTAGTTTTTTACTTTCACTTTATTGGGTATAGTTTTTTTTATTGTTTTAGTTGTTCTGTAAAGTTGGAACCTTTCAATGTATACTCTGATATTTGTTTAATTTCGGATTCTAGTTTTGCCTACAAATTCTGATTGATTTATAAGCATTCACCCTGTATTCCCCTGTCTCTGGTGAAAAGGGTAGAATGATTAATAAGGATAAGAATATAAAGGAAGATAGTGATCCCAGCAGTTGGATTAATATTATACTGTTTCATTTTCGCTTATATTTATGACTGGGTTTATGATTTTACTCACCATTTAACTCTGGGGGTGGCTTATTGTTAACAATTTGCTGATCGTTCAACTCCTTCCAAGGGCTTATCACGTCCCTCGAGTTCAATCCTGTCAAAAAATCAACAGATATATTGCTATTGTCTTGCCTAACACGTATTGCACACTGCCTCTTAATGCGAGTTTTGGAACTTTTACAATTCATAAAGTATGGGGATACACACGTTTCAGTCGGATTATATTCTCCTTAGATATTCGATATTATACAGGGTGGGCCAGAATTAACTTTGACAAAGTGGTGTTAAGAGGAGTGTGTAAATGTGTCACGTACGGCCAGCCTCGAGATTTTTTAGGATTCATGAGGTCTGTACAAGGTGTTTCCAAAACACGGGGTGAAGCTTCCATATGTGAACAAGAACTAAAAATCCAAAAATATTTTTCTTCTCATTGCAATTATGCCAGTTTATACCTACTTCTTAACCTTTGAACAAGACGCCTCCTCATTGGTCCAATTTGTGCAAAAGACTCAAATTTGAATCAATAACAAAATCGGGCCGTATTTTAAAAACAGTTAGTATTTCGAAGATTGCCAGAGGCCACAATTGCCCAAAGAATCACCTTTTGATTTTTTGAATGTTTTGGAAACATCATGTATATTTGACCGCCCCTCTTAACTCATTTTGAAGTGCTTGCCGAAGCCAGATCCTGAACAGAGGGCCAGAAATATGTGCACGTGCGTTTAAAACTAGAGGTAAGATGATTCCAGCAATATATTGGGGAAGGTTAGGATAGAACTGGATAGAAGGAGCACTGGTCAGGTAAGTGCCAATAGTTTTAACCGCACGTGAACCAAATAGTCCCGTGTACAAGGCCTGCGCTATAGGCACTCACCTTCCACCGTCTTGTCATAGTACATAGGGCAATGCCATCCTATCTGATGTCAAAACTACTCCTCTCAAACTCCTATGGAAGAGATACTGCTTCGGCGTTCCTAGCTATAGTATCTTCAGACCACGACGACTAATCGTCGATGCGGGTGCTCCCCACGGATCGATTTTGGCTCCAGCATTATTTCTGCATGTCAATGATCTCGTTTCCTAAGCTCATACTACAAAATACCTGGGATCTGATTTTACTAGCCTAGGGAATCCAAAGCAGTATTTGTGAAGTTTTGAGAGAGTTTTATAGATTTTAACCTTTTTGTATTCTTACATTTTGCTTTTAATTTTTACAACATGACGGCACAAGTTCCCAAAAATACGAGGTAACAAATTCTAAAAGATCAGGCTAAAATCTATAGTTACCACAATTTTAAAAATTTACATTGATTAACGTATTCTTTAAGAAGATACATATGTAGTTTCCATCATCACAGCCGTGTTGCCAAGTGGGATCCCAATATTTCCCCAAGTAATACAAAAGATTCCAGACTTATATAGAAAATTGTTTAGTCTTAAACATATCAACTTCCAAGTAACCCTTCTTCACTCGCAATTGCTTTGAGAATTAGTAACAGTAGAAAGGAAAACCCTATAATCTGCGGCAACAGTTCAAAAAGTGGCAACGCTGACACCCGTAGATGGAGGTGGACACGTAAATACGAGGACCCGCATGTATAGAACCGCGTGACCGTTGACGAACAATATCAAGATCATGCTGATGCAGAGCAGAGTTTGTAATTGTGTTGTAAATCTTCGTGTCATCGGCATAAGCAGAAAATGTGGAGGTTTGAAAGTTTAAATTTAACTTTTTATTGTACTAAAACCTGACAACTTCTTATACTAAGTGACATATAAATCCGAACACCCAGTTTAAATGGTTTTATTAATAAAATTTTGTATAAGTACTTAATGAAGCATAATAAGTAAATGATAAAAATTTCAACATGATTGCACTGCTTTAAAGCCCTTTGACCTTTAATAATGTGTGGATGCACCCTGATGTGCTACGCATTCTCCAACGCGCCTAGGCATGCTTCTGATCATTTGGTCAATGTCCTCCTATGGTATCTCATTCCAGGCAACCACCAACTCCTCTTGAAGTGCTTCCAGAGTCTGAGGAGGACGTTGCAAATTGAGCAATCTCCTACCTATCATATCCCATACGTGCTCAATTGGGGATAAGTCGGGAGATCTTGGTGGCCATGGTAACAATGTGACATCATTATGTTGAAAGAAGTCTATTGTGACTCTTGCAACATGTGGTCGGGCATTATCTTGTTGGAAAGTTGGGTCTGCCAGGGTGTCAAGATAGGCTAAAAGATGGGGTTCTAGAACTTCGTGGATATAACGCTGCGCGTTCATGTTACCTCTGATGAAGATTAAAGGTGACCTGGAACCATAAGCTATAGCATCCCAAACCATAACTCCAACAGTGTGATGAACATGTCCTTCAACAAAAAACTGTGGATTCCTCCTTTCACCACGTCGCCTTCTAACCCTGGCACGACCATCGTGCATGCCTAAACAAAATCGAGACTCGTCACTAAAGACAATACTGTTCCATTCCTGATCCCAGAGTGACCGTTGTCTGGCGATTACGTCGGTGTTCTCGAGTTAAAGGGAGGACCCAGTGTGACCGGTATGAAAACAAGCCAAAACTTCTCATTCGTCGGTAAACACTTCGCATGCCAATAGGTCTTCCGTGTTCTGCAAACCATTCATTTGCTATGGACCTGGTAGTGGAGAATCGGTCCCTTAAGGCCAATAATCTTAGGCGGCGATCTTCACGGTCTGTTGTTCTACGGCGGCGTCCAGTGCCCCTTGCTCTTTGCGTACGGCCTTCTCGAAGCCATGCCTGACAACACCTAACCACAGTGTCACACTTCTTTGCACTCTAACTGCAATTGCCCGAAAAGAAAGTCCAGCTTCCCGAAGTCCCACTATACGGCCCCTATCAAACTCACTAAGTTGACGAAATCGTACAGGTCTCCGTACTCTAGGCATCGTAACCGATCGTAAAGGATGTCAAGAACCAAAATCCGCCAACGTTGATTCTTTACTGCGGCTGAAATATTCATTTTTAGAGCGTTGGTGAATTAAAAAAAGCAGTATAAAAACCGGAATGTCCAACTGATAAGGCTGAAAATTTTTTCACTTGTTATTTACAGTAAGATAAATACATTCACCAACTTTTATTAAAATAAAACCATTTAAACTGGGTGTTCGGATTTATATGTCACTTAGTATATAATCAGGAAATTTTTCGGTAGATTAATTCAATTTAGAAGACAATTTTATTGAATGCTGAGCCCCCGATAAAAGCTATAGTAAACAAAAATTTAACTATTCTCATCAAATGCTGAACGCTCAGAAAGGTGATACGGTAAATTTGACTACCTTCATCAAATGCTGTAAGCTCAATAAGGCCATGCAGTAAATTTGACTATTCCCATCAAATGCTGTAATCTCGGAAGTCTATACAGTAAATTTGAATACTTTCATCAAATTCCGTAAGCTCAACAAGTCTATGCAGTAAATTTGCCTACTTTCAAAGTTTTGTACAAAAAGAAAGGGGTAAGACTTAGCCTTCGCTTGCTCTTGGTCAGTCTTACGTTCTGCTGGTGTCGCCAGTCGCAAAAAAGTTCACCAGCACCTTGCAGAATTAGTCGCGTTATCTAAAACAGCCGTTGCCTGCTCTTTAGCTGTGTCGTTATGCTTCACGGCAACGCTCAGTCCCACGTTGCGTTAAGGACACAGACGAAACTGGACAAGTTTCATCGTTCTATGACGACGGTATGCAAAGCCTAGCGCCACCACTTGACAAATACTGAATTTCAAATATTTACGCTGACTATGTTGAAAAATGTTAATATACTAAGTGACATATAAATCCGAACACCCAGTTTAAATGGTTTTATTTTAATAAAATTTTGTATAAGTACTTAATGAAGCATAATAAGTAAATGATAAAAATTTCAAAATGATTGCACTGCTGTAAAGATCTTTGACCTTTAATAATGTGTGGATGCACCCTGATGTGCTACGCATTCTCCAACGCGCCTAGGCATGCTTCTGATCAGGTGGTCAATGTCCTCCTGTGGTATCTCATTCCAGGCAACCACCAACTCAAATTGAGAAATCTCCTACCCATCATATCCCACACGTGCTCAATTGGGGATAAGTCGGGAGATCTTGGTGGCCATGGTAACAATGTGACATCATTTAGTTGAAAGAAGTCTATTGTGACTCTTGCAACATGTGGTCGGGCATTATTTTGTTGGAAAGTTGGATCTGCCAGGGTGTCAAGATAGGGTAAAAGATGGGGTTCTAGAACTTCGTGGATATAACGCTGCGCGTTCATTTTACCTCTGATGAAGATTAAAGGTGACCTGGAACCATAAGCTATAGCACCCCAAACCATAACTCCGACGAATGAGAAGTTCTGGCTTGTTTTCATACCGGCCACACTGGGTCCTCCCTTTAACTCGAGAACACCGACGTAATCGCCTTGAGTGGTGCAGACAACGGTCACTCTGGTATCAGGAATGGAACAGTATTGTCTTTAGTGACGAGTCTCGACTTTGTTTAGGCATGCACGATGGTCGTGCCAGGGTTAGAAGGCGACGTGGTGAAAGGAGGAATCCACAGTTTTTTGTTGAAAGACATGTTCATCACACTGTTGGAGTTATGGTTTGGGGTGCTATAGCTTATGGTTCCAGGTCACCTTTAATCTTCATCAGAGGTAACATGAACGCGCAGCGTTATATCCACGAAGTTCTAGAACCCCATATTTTACCCTATCTTGACACCCTGGCAGGTCCAACTTTCCAACAAGATAATGCCCGACCACATGTTGCAAGAGTCACAATAGACTTCTTTCAACATAATGATGTCACATTGTTACCATGGCCACCAAGATCTCCGGACTTATCCCCAATTGAGCACGTGTGGGATATGATGGGTAGGAGATTGCTCAATTTGCAACGTCCTCCTCAGACTCTAGAAGCACTTCGAGAGGAGTTGGTGGTTGCCTGGAATGAGATACCACAGGAGGACATTGACCACCTGATCAGAAGCATGCCTAGGCGCGTTGGAGAATGCGTAGCACATCATGGTGCATCCACACATTATTAAAGGTCAAAGGGCTTCAATGCAGTGCAATCATTTTGAAATTTTCATCATTTACTTATTATGCTTCATTAAGTACTTATACAAAATTTTATTGAAATAAAACCATTTAAACTAGGTGTTCGGATTTATATGTCACTTAGTATATGATAGTTCGTGATGCAATTTACATTCACAAATAAAATTTATCTGACTCCATTATAAAACGGTTCATACTTAAGAGATGATCCTCGTAGTTGTGATATGGATTGGCTATCTTCTTCTGGAATTTGTTAATCAATGCTCCTATAAAACTTTTTACGTATTATTCCCAAGTAGGCTAGATTGTTGGAACGAACAAATATGGAGAGGTTCGGATAAGTTGGAAAGGAGAATACATACCTTGCTGGAATCATAATGCCTTCCGAGTCTTCAATTTCTTCATTTCAAATTTTATATTGACGCTTTTGAATTTGTACTAGGTGCAATACTACTTCAAAGCATTTCTATACTTAAATTTATGAATTGATTTTCTAGCTTTTTGACATCGTTATATTGAAAAAAGTATCTAAAAGTTTTAAGCTTAATAAGAATCTCAAAATGCTTCAGTTTCACTAAACTTGGCATCCAGTTCTTTGGGCGGGTAACAAACTGCAAGATTGTCGTCCTACCTTGTGCCTGTGGCATCATGAGAGGTTGCATACCAATTCCCTGATGAACCATGTATTGTCGTTGGAACAATTGCAACTGTTGAATCAGCTGCTGCTGTTGCAAGGCCAGTTGCTGAAGAGACCCAGCTGCTTTCTTCTTATCTGAGTTTTGTAGGATATGTGTCTGTTGTAAGAAGTTCATCTGCAACTGCTCCTGCAGATGCTGCATAGTCTGCTCCATCTGCTTTTTGCCCAGCTCGGCTAACTGGTGTTGCTAGAAACGATGTAAGTTTGATAAACCGGCATCGTTAATACGTAATAAATTGCATTTGACAGTTGCGACGCCAAATTCCTAGGTTATATGCTGTTCAGATCAACGAATTCAGACTAAGTAGAAGGAGCAAGTTTATGATTTGTTTGTCGCCAAGATATCGTTTAAATATACTATATATTAGGGTGACTTTGAAGTTGAGTCATTAATTTTCAGATAATGATTGTAGAAGGAAGATAAAACCAAAATATGCGTGTAAAAAGAAATAAGAATCATATCCAAAAGTTCAGCATTTTCGTAAACATGTTCCATTTTTTATTTCGTTTGAGCCACGCAACAAACACCACTATTCACTCACGCGTTACCGACTGACACATTGACTGAATACAACTGAATAAAATTGTAGTAAAAACATCGTGATAAGCGTTTCAAATTCTTCCGCTTTTTTGTTTCCGATGCGAAAATATATAAAACTGTCTGGGTTCCATACAATCCCAGTGTTCCAGAAAATTGTGAGAATGGTGAACGTTCTGTGGAATGCAAAATGACGTGTAAAATGAATAATAATCGATCGATAAGTGTTAATATACTAGAGAGCATAACTGTAGCCCTGCTAAAAAGTTTAGTTTTCTCTTTAGTTGGTTTAAATGTAAATTTATAATGGGATGGATTAATTATTGGATGAATTAAGATAATCTCCATATTTATCTTCTGCGCGGCTGCTTCGGTGTAAAAAAATGAAAAAACAAGATTTTGGCGACAAACAATGTAAGAAAAACGAAAATTAGACTTTCTGATTATCTGATTTTGAGTAAAATACATTGTGAAGATTCGGTTTTTAGTCAATGCTTGACACATGCTGAGACGTACAGGATTCAAATGGTTCAGAATAGTTGTGTTAGGCAGTCTCTAGGTATAGCAAGTAGAGAGAGAATTTTTAGTGATTTAAGGGAAATAAATTGGCCTATGATACCGCGGAGGTGGATGGTTCATTTAATGACACTATATAGAGGGTGACTTTGAAGTTGAGTCATTAATTTTCAGATAATGATTGTAGAAGGAAGATAAACCAAAAAATTTGTGTAAAAATAAAAAAAAATTAAAAAAAAATGTCACCTTGTTTTATAAAGTATCCTCCCGACAAGTATTTCAGTGCGGACCTGTATTTGATCGTTCGGTCTTGTCCACAAGTTCAGCATTTTCGTAAACATGTGCCATTTTTTATTTCGTTTGAGCCACGCAACAGACACCACTATTCACTCACGCGTTACCGACTGACACTGACTGTATACAACTGAATAAAATAATTGTAAAAACATCGTTCCAAATTCTTTCGCTTTTTTGTTTCCGATGCGATGAACCGATAAGGCGGATTATATCCGTTGTTGCCAAACACGAGCACATAATATTATTATTGAGACAGGGCGGTACTCAAACTTCCAAAGGGCTATAACTTTGTTACTTTAATTTTACCAGAAAAATGGTAAAGGAAAAAAACATTTCTTTTGATCAGATCTACTCACTGTTAAAATAAATGACTCAACTTCGAAGTGTATATTGATGACAAAAACACCAAAATATATTAATAGTAAGCCTAGTTTGGGGAGTGAACAGCATTGCGTTAATCTACGATTTGTGGGTTACACTTTGCACGTACCGTATCATAAAACTGCCCAATTTATGAAGTAATTTCCTTACATCGCACTCAATTTATACAATAAATTGCAATCAAGTATGAAGACACTTTCTGAATTTAGTTTCACATAAAAAATTATGATGCCGAGAAAGGTATATTACAAAAAGTAGGAAAATAATGGGCAAAATCCGCAAAAAGGGAAAGTGGATTCGAGCAATACGTATTTCTGCTTGTTGGCTTTATCAGGCCCAAAATGCTGACACATGCCCATAAATCCGTATCAGTATGTATGGGCATGTGTATCTACAGGGTGGGGCAAAAGTCACGAAGGGATTTGAAAAATTAATAACTTTTTTAAATTTATTTTGTTTTCATTTTTTTTTCAGGACCGTGTAAAATAAATCCTGGAGATTAATTATGGAGCGTTACAACCTCAATCAACGAACCAAACTTCTAGAATTTTATTTTGAATATCACCATTCAATAATTCAAACTCAACGAGCATATCGTCGTCATTTCAATTTGCGGAATTCGCCCTCTGAATCAATGATTCGACGCTTAGTGGCACGATTTCAGCAACAAGGCACAGTTATGGATCTCCCACGAAGCGGAAGGCCACGTTCCGCAAGAAATGAAGGGAACATTGAACGCGTTCAGGAGAGTGTTCAGGAGAATCCGGAAACCTCAACCCGAAGACGTTCTGCTGAGCTGCAGATGTCTCAAAGGTCTTTACGCAGAATATTAAGAGGAAATTTACATCTGTTTCCATATAAAGTGCAGCTAGTGCAAGAACTAAAACCAGCAGATTTTCAAGAACGACTAACTTATGCAGTTCGCTTGCAAAGAATGGCTCGAGAAGATAATGAATTTATTCATTCTCTGATCATGAGCGATGAAGCCCATTTTCATTTGAATGGCTTCGTAAATAAGCAGAACTGCAGAATATGGGGTACCGAGAACCCAAGGGTGGTTCATCAAAGGCAATTACATCCGCTTAAATGTACAGTATGGTGCGCAGTTACGTCTCAACGAATTATTGGACCATTCTTCTTCGAAGACCACGATGGGAATGCTGTATCTGTAGATGGCGACCGATATCGTGATATGATTCAAAATTTCTTAAGACCAGCTCTTGCTGACAATCAAACGATGACTTTCCAACAAGATGGAGCCACTGCGCATACTGCTCGAGCCACTATGCACCTTCTAAGGCAGATTTTTGGCGAACGTTTAATTTCGAGAAATTCAGGATTCAATTGGCCCGCCCGCTCGCCGGACTTAACAGCCCCTGATTATTTCCTTTGGGCATATCTGAAAGGAAAAGTGTATATTAATAAACCCACAACCCTGCAGCAACTAAAAGATAATATTCGAGCAGAAGTAAGTGCTTTGGGGCCAGATATTCTGACTCGGGTAATGGAAAATGCTCTTGCAAGAGCTGCACTTTGCGAGGCTGAAAATGGCGGTCATTTGCGTGATGTAATCTTTCACACTTAAATTGTAAACAAACTCCAAACATTGCATTTTAGTTTTGTGTTAGAGAAAAAAATTAAAATTAAAATTTAAAAAAGTTATTAATTTTTCAAATCCCTTCGCGACTTTTGCCCCACCCTGTACTTTCGTGGTTACATATGTGCATTCAATGCAAACAGAAAGAAAATATCAAGCATAGTTAAGTAGATCTTACTTTCGTTTTGAGCTGGTTACGCACTTGGTTCAGATAAAACATTTTTTACCTGATGTTGCTGTTGTTGTAACAAAGAATGCTGTTTCATCAGATTTTGTAGCTGCGTGGGGCTTAAAACATGCTGCTGGAGAAGCTGTTGCATGTGATGAAGGTTTGACGTTGGGGGTGTCATAACAGGTGTACTCGATGGAGGAGACTGTCCGTACGACGTGGGGTATTCATTGTTCAGCTTCGTTTCATTCTGAAATAAAAAAATGGCGTCAAGACTCTGCATTTCCCTCGAAGTTCATAATGGATTATGTTAAGCACAAACTCCCCATACTTAGACGTGACAGCGCTGTCAGAGCATAGGGAACACTATGCTGTGGTGCAGAAATACGTGTGGTACCATACCAGAACAGCAGAACACTCATCAAGACCGGCGTCACGCTGCCGGGAGCAGCAGTCGCGACCGGTAGGTACGCGATCTGTCTGCCGAGAGTATTCAAGTTTGAAGCGTAATGTACCTGTATATAATATCTAATTTTTGATTTGATAATTTAATGGTTAGTTTATTATTGAAAATAGGTCACAATTTGTTTTTTATAATGGTTTTGTATCTCAACAGTATATAGCAGCTTCAGGTGTACCGCAAGGCTCCAACTTGGGTCCCTTTCTGTTTTTACTGTACATACACGATCTTTCTTGTAACTTGTCTTGTTTGAATTTATTATATGCTGATGATTTGAAAATCTTCAAAACAATTAACGACATCTCAGATTGCCGCATTCTATTGCAGAACCCTGATTCTACCCATGATTGGTGTCTAGCGAAAAAGCTGTACTTGAATGTATCTAAGTGCAAAATTCTAACATTTCCAAGAGAAAAGCAGATAATTGTATACTTTATCTGAAGTCACTTGAAACACTGTGAAATACCGGGTGCGTTTTATATATCTATATTTAACACGCTCTGTTGCTGCAAAAATCGCCAAATTTCGCAGCAAATATCCCCCGTATAAGATCAAAGGCAGTTTCACCGGTCCACGTGGAGTAAAGCACGCCTATGCGTGGACATAGCCAATGAGAAAGCGTGTATTTCAGAGCTCGGGAACAAGTGCAGGTGGCTACTGAAAATTGAAACAGTTTAGCCAGTGCCGTGTAGCGGTGAATAAACGTGTTTTCTTTAGTCTGTCCGTGTTTTTTCATAGATTTTATTAGTTTGTGTGTTTTTGACTTTTGAATACTCTGTTTACTTGTTGATTTAATTGTTGTGTTGATTGTTCTTGTGTGTCCTAAATATGGCTCTTTGGAGACCTTGGGAAAATGCTCCAAGCCACGAGGAGATGGTTGATGAACCTGTGCAGGCAGAATTCTTTCATAAAGATTTAGAGGAACAGACCCAAAGAGTAATCCTAAATATGTATGATTATCTGAAAAACGAAAATCCAGATTCCTCGCAAAATCAAATTTTAAACAGAATTTGTATCCTGACAAAAATCAGTCGGTCTACCATTTATCGGGTTATAAAAAGGGGAGATGTAGTCAACCATTCCTTCCACAGAAAGCGTATAGGGCAAAAATTTAAACGAATAGACGTGGGTTTTCAGGAAGATATTCGTCGTATAATATACGGATTTTATAAAGAAAATTTGGTGCCCACGTTGGAAATGATACGGGATAAATTAAAAGATTATCCTGAAGATTTTTATAATTACAAATGCTTAGACTCACTGCACTGTATTGTAAAACTGTGTGGTTTTCAATACAAAAAATTAGATAAAAGAATGGTGATTATGGAGTCGTCTCGAATCGTTGAATTGCGCCAAGAATTTTTGCACAAAGTTAAAATCTATAGAGACAGAAAAACAAAATTCCGAATACAGGCACAAAAAAACAAGACATTATTGATTTTATGAAGGATAAGGGAATGGAAATACCACAAAAATCAACCAAAGCCATATTATTGGATCTTATTAAAAGACAAAAATTTGAAAAAGCGTATGTTGTTGACAATCTGCTTCAGCAAAATGGCCATGAAGTATTACGTCTACCTCCCTATTACTGCATTTTTAACCCGATTGAGTTGGTCTGGGCTGCTTTAAAAAAAAAAGTAAGAAAACATAATCAGACCCCTCAATTAAGTGAATCGCTATTGGCCACAATAAGAGATGCAATATCTCATATTGCTGCCACAGACCTATGGAAGCAGTGTTCTAGGCATATTATTGAAAAAGAAAATGAATATTGTGTTTTGCCTCCTGTAAATCCCGTTGTAATTCCTCTACAAGATGACTCTAGCGACAGCTCCGAAGGCGAGGATGATATATAAATACCTATAATGTAAGTCTTTATATACCTTTTTATATACCTACCTGCTATGTAAATATTTGCGCATGTCAAACGTTGGAATTCTGTAATTTTTCCATTTTTTAACTTTCAGTCAACATAAATCAAACTCCCAATATAAGTATTTTTTATCCCAAATCAAAAAAATAAGAAGATAGTAAAATCCATTTATTGTGATATAAAAACATTATTATTATCGTTCTAAATAAATGACCGCACGCCTATGATACGTCATGAAATTACAAAGGACGCGCCGACCAAAGGTTTTTATGCTATTTCAAGTGACTTCAGATAAAGTATACATAAATATAAGGTTGCGAATAATGATCTCTCAAGAGTTGATCAAATTAAGAATCTGGATATATGGTTCGATGAAAAAATGGCCTTTAACTACCATATCAGCTTAAAAATATCAGATGCACTCAAATTCTATGGATTTATTGTCAGAAAATGTAAGGCGTTCAGTGATATAAATGTTTTGAAAAAGTTATACTGTTCATATGTAAGATCTAGGTTAGAATATGCATCTTTGGTTTGGAAGCCGTCTTATATAACATATAAGACCTCCTTCGAACAAGAAAAATTTTCAGCCTTATCAGTTGAACATTCCGGTTTTTATACCGCTTTTTTTTCAATTCACTAACGCTCTAAAAATGAATATTTTCAGCCGCAGTAAAGAATCAACGTTGGCGGATTTTGGTTCTTGACATTCTTTACGATCGGTTACGATGCCTAGAGTACGGAGACCTGTACGATTTCGTCAACTTAGTGGAGTTTGATAGGGGCCGTATAGAGAGACTTCGGGAAGGTGGACTTTCTTTTCGGGCAATTGCAGTTAGAGTGCAAAGAAGTGTAGACACTGTGGTTAGGTGTTGTCAGGCATGGCTTCGAGAAGGCCGTATGCAAAGAGCAAGGGGCACTGGACGCCGCCGTAGAACAACAGACCGTGAAGATCGCCGCCTAAGATTATTGGCCTTAAGGGACCGTTTCTCCACTACCAGGTCCATTGCAAATGAATGGTTTGCAGAACACGGAAGACCTATTGGCATGCGAAGTATTTACCGACGAATGAGAAGTTTTGGCACACTGAGTCCTCCCTTTAACTCGAGAATACCGACGTAATCGCCTTGAGTGGTGCAGACAACGGTCACTCTGGGATCAGGAATGGAACAGTATTGTCTTTAGTGACGAGTCTCGATTTTGTTTAGGCATGCACGATGGTCGTGCCAGGGTTAGAAGGCGACGTGGTGAAAGGAAGAATCCACGGTTTTTTGTTGAAAGACATATTCATCACACTGTTGGAGTTATGGTTTGGGGTGCTATAGCTTATGGTTCCAGGTCACCTTTAATCTTCATCAGAGGTAACATGAACGCGCAGCGTTATATCCACGAAGTTCTAGAACCCCATCTTTTACCCTATCTTGACACCCTGGCAGATCCAACTTTCCAACAAGATAATGCCCGACCACATGTTGCAAGAGTCACAATAGCCTTCTTTCAACATAATGATGTCACATTGTTACCATGGCCACCAAGATCTCCCGACTTATCCCCAATTGAGCACGTGTGGGATACGATGGGTAGGAGATTGCTCAATTTGCAACGTCCTCCTCAGACTCTAGAAGCACTTCGAGAGGAGTTGGTGGTTGCCTGGAATGATATACCATACTAGGACATTGACCACCTGATCAGAAGCATGCCTAGGCGCGTTGGAGAACGCGTAGCACATCAGGGTGCATCCACACATTATTAAAGGTCAAAGGGCTTTAAAGCAGTGCAATCATTTTGAAATTTTTATCATTTACTTATTATGCTTCATTAAGTACTTATACAAAATTTTATTAAAATAAAACCATTTAAACTGGGTGTTCGGATTTATATGTCACTTAGTATAAAAAATAGAGAACAAGTTATCATTATTATCGTCTTTAAACGCGTAGTGTGAGCTTACTTTTTAAAGTATGCGCCTTCTACTTTAAGATCATTCACTGTTTGTGTGACATGACAAGTCAATAAATTATGAGCGAATAGGAAACAAATATCTACAATAACAATGCCCCCAAAATGCTTTGGGAACTTGTTAGTTGATGTTTTAAGGATATTTAGGAGCTTTGGCACAATAAGAATTTTCGTTTTTTTCATATTATTTTTAGGGATCGAAAATGGCATATTTTACACTTTTCCAACTATCAAATCGCTTATATCTCGAAAACTAGAGCTGCTCTGAGAGATTCTTTTGAATCAGTTACTTCTTCAGCACCCATTTTTTTCATTTTGTGCTTACTCTTGGCAGCACGTCAGATCATCAACACGCAATGAAACGAGAAGTCCGCTTCAGGGGGATTTCTATTTTACCTGGGGAAGTGCCGGAATAGGTGGCACAGTTGCGCTAAGGTTCTTCTGAACTTCTGCTGAAGGTGAAGGTGAATGCTCCTGCATTCGAGTGTCTGAGCTGGGACTGTGGTTTCCATTGCCTTTGCTGTCCCTGTCTCTATCTCTTTCTCTTTCTTGGTCCCACCCGCGGCCTAATTCCAGCTGTTGCTGTTGCGTTTTTAGCACCTTCTCCAAAGAGGCAGCTTGCTGTAACAGAAGAAAATGGTGTCAAGTAGATTGACTCACTACTGCACATGCAACTTTGTTATCAATTATGTTCGGTTTATTTCCAAACCTACGCCATCTGACTTGAAGAGACATGTCTGTGCATTTTCTAAGAAATTATAACATCTGAAATTGGACCGAACCATAGCTCATGAAGTTTACAGCCTTCCGAAGGAAAGTTTATTCTCAGAACGCGGGCATAGTGGCATGTAAACAAAAAGGGTGCTCGTAGGAAGTTAAACATTTTTTGTATCATACAGGGTGTCAAAGGTAAGGATAAGGGAGATGCAGCTTAGGTTAAATTAGGAAAAAGCTGCGTTCGTTGCGTATTTACATGCCGCTGAGAAACTATAATTTTGCCAAATAATCACTGATCAACAGCCAAAAAATATCCTAAATAAAATCAACAAAATATTACTATTTTTAATGTGCTAAAACTGGAATGAAACTTATTTTTTCCATATTAGTTCAAGTTTTAGAGATACGGTAATTATATGTGTTCCTGCTGTGACAGTGTAATTCACAAGAATGCACGTGCTACATTTTTATATTCGGCAAGGAAAGATAATGTAATCGGCACGATTGTGTTACGTCATACATACGTGAACATTATATTGTTTTATATTAGCCATTTTTTCCTCAGTTGGCTGACAGCGTTCATGCAAGATGTCTCGAAAGTGTGTAAACAATCCAGATCAGTTTTGTTACGTGTGTGGTGATGTGACTTTTGCGTCTCAGAGACGGTCTATTACTCCACTAATAACAAAGGCATATCAGCTTTATTTCGGTTGTAAACTAGGTGATCAAGACAAACAGTGGGCACCCCACATCTGCTGTAATACATGTGCTTCAAGTCTGAGGAGCTGGTTAAATGGCAAAAAACGGTCTATGCACTTTGCTGTCCCAATGGTTTGGAGAGAGCCTACAAATCATATTAATGATTGTTACTTTTGCATGGTACCTTGTGTTGGACAAGCCACAGGTATGTCCAAGAAAAAAAATCGGTTATTAACTACCCAAACATACCATCTGCGATGAGACCTGTGGCTCACAGTGACGAAAATCCTATTCCAAAACCCCCAGAATCCTACAATTGCGAATCAGAAAACGAATCAGATCATGGCGATCGAGTGATTCGTCAGGAAGAAGATATGCCATCAACGTCAAGAGATCCTGATTTTATACCGAGCACGTCATGCCACCAACTGCACAAAATAACACAGTCAGAATTAAATGATCTTGTAATGCAGAACTTCCAAAATGTAAGGCAGAGTTACTTGGATCAAGACTCCAGCAGTGGAGCTTGTTGGAAGACGATGTTTCGGGATGTGTTTTTCGTAAACGCCACAAAGACTTAGAACCATTTTTCAATATGGAGAATAACTTGGTATTCTGCAGTAACATTAACGGCTTACTGGCGGCTTTGAATATAAACTATAACCCAGAAGAATGGAGATTGTTTATAGACAGTTCAACATTGAGTTTAAAGGCAGTGTTATTGCATATTGGAAATATTTTACCATCTCTTCCTGTAGGGTATGCAGTTCACATGAAATAATCATATGACAATATGAAGTACCTATTGACATGCATGAAATACGATGAGCACCAATGGCATATTTGTGGCGATTTGAAAGTTGTTGCACTTTTACTTGGGCTGCAGCTAGGCTACACAAAGTTTTGCTGTTTTTTGTGTGAATGGGACAGTCGGGCAAAGGCACTTCATTACACCAGACAAAACTGGCCTGTTCGTCAATTCCTAGAGCCAGGTCAAAAAAATGTACAGCATATGCCATTAGTAGATTCGAAAACAAAATTTATTACCACCACTGCATATCAAGTTGGGCCTAATGAAAAAAAAGGTTAAAGAAGGTATTTTTGTTGGGCCACAGATTCGAAATATTTTGAAAGATACACAGTTTGAAAACACTTTAACAGGTATTGAAAAAACTGCTTGGAATGATTTCCGTCTGGTGGTCACTAATTTCTTGGGAAATAGAAAAGCTGACAACTATAAAACCCTTGTCAAAAATATGCTGTCATCGTATCAAAAGATGGGCTGTAATATGTCTCTTAAGATACATTTCCTACACTCACACCTGGACTTTTTTCCTGACAATTGCGGAGCCGTAAGTGATGAGCACGGCAAACGTTTTCATCAGGATATTTCAACAATGGAAAAAAGGTACCAGGGAAAGTGGAATCCTTCCATGCTTGCAGACTACTGTTGGACTCTTGGTAGAGATGCTCCAGAAACGATCCATAAAAGAACAGCAAAAAGACAGCGCATATAGTGATTCTTATACGTATATGAATCTTGTTACTTTTTTTAATACATCCTTAAAAATAAAAAGTTTTTTTTCTAAACTAATTTTTTTATTTCATTGTCATTTTTGGATTCAGCGCCCCAAAATCAACAAAGAAGTGCACTTTTCCCACAAGATACAATTAAAAAACTAAAATTTGTTGTCCAGTGTAATTTTTTACTGGATTTATTTTAAGAATAACGAATACATTTTTAATATAATTTTCATTTTATTCACAACTGGTGTTCAAATAGATTGCCATTATTTTCTAAACATACATATGATCTTCTAACGGCATATACATTCTCGTAGCTGCCGCTCATTTTGAAAAGTATGCTGATAAACTATTATTTTTGATAAAACCCCAAATAAAAATGTGCAAAAGAGTTAAATCCAGGCAACGCGCTGGCTAGGACACTTTATTGAAGGTTTCAATCTTGATGAAACCAGCCGCTATTATCCTGTGCCAAAGGTAAATTATCTAGACAGTCTGGAACATGTTGCGACAATTGAAGGCACCGTTCTGCAGTTAATTCCATACCACATATTAAACCTAAAATGCTCTCGATGTCTGGATACTTTTTTAGCCAGCGACTTTCTTGAGCCCAGAAATGAGTGGTCGGACGATTAAAGATACCATTACTAATGACCATATTCTCGTCGTATCAAATTATTTTTGAAGGGAAGTTAAAACCCTCTTCACAAAAATGCTAGCACAGTTCGCTATCCCTGATCTAAGTCCTTGGCAAATCCTGAATTCATCGGGGTGATATATATTTTTACGCAAAATATGGGCTGTGGATCGGTCTACTCCTAAATGTTTCTCAATTTGGCTGGTTGGTATGTCAGAGTGCTCAGCAACTGCTTGTAGAACACTATTCTGAGTTTACTCTAAATATCATATAATATGTGTTGAAAGATTTTTAAAAACGATATAAAGATACTAATAACGTTGCATGTTGCATGATTGACATTTTCGGAATATTTCGTAACGACAACACTTCCTGGTCAATCCTTAAACAAAGGAGCGGTTATATTGACCAGTTCTCACTGTACAGAATAAGAGGAGTTTAGTGAGTTTAGCTGGCTCTGAGGAGCAGAGTCCGCAGGGATATGGCAGAAGACCATCCTGTACTGCCGATTAGAGATACAATTTACCTGAGTATAATAATCCGCAAAACTAACATTGATGTTTACGAAACACCAGCTTGGTCAACAAATCCCGGTATCGTGTCTGTCAGGTTGTTTGTGAACGAAAATAGTTTAGAGTAGCCACAAGGAGCTACCCACAAACCAAAGGCGAAGATCCAGACGGATCGAAATTAAATTATTATATCGCAGATGTTTACACAGCCGAGATGAGAAACCGGTATTGGCCAAATTGCCAATACTCAAACTTATGGTACGGGAGATTACCACATAAAATTAGGGCGAATCCATCCTACAAATGCAAGGAGAACAGGCAGTGAGATCGGTGCTTAGCCCATCTTTTTAAGCAAAAAAAATTCTAATATACTAAGTGACATATAAATCCGAACACCCAGTTTAAATGGTTTTATTTTAATAAAAGTTGGTGAATGTATTTATCTTACTGTAAATAACAAGTGAAACAATTTTCAGCCTTATCAGTTGGACATTCCGGTTTTTATACTGCTTTTTTTTAATTCACTAACGGTCTAAAAATGAATATTTCAGCCGCAGTAAAGAATCAACGTTGGCGGATGTTGGTTCTTGACATCCTTTACGATCGGTTACGATGCTTAGAGTAGGGAGACCTGTACGATTTTGTCATTTTAGTGAGTTTGATAGGGGCCGTATAGTGGCACTTCGGGAAGCTGGACTTCCTTTTCGGGCAATTGCAGTTAGAGTGCAAAGAAGTGTAGACACTGTGGTTAGGTGTTGTCAGGCATGGCTTCGAGAAGGCCGTACGCAAAGAGCAAGGGGCACTGGACGCCGCCGTAGAACAACAGACCGTGAAGATCGCCGCCTAAGATTATTGGCCTTAAGGGACCGTTTCTCCACTACCAGGTCCATTGCAAATGAATGGTTTGCAGAACACGGAAGACCTATTGGCATGCGAAGTGTTTACCGACGAATGAGAAGTTTTGGCTTGTTTTCATACCGGCCACACTGGGTCCTCCCTTTAACTCGAGAACACCGACGTAATCGCCTTGAGTGGTGCAGACAACGGTCACTCTGGGATCAGGAATGAAACAGTATTATCTTTAGTGACGAGTATCGATTTTGTTTAGGCATGCACGATGGTCGTGCCAGAGTTAGAAGGCGACGTGGTGAAAGGAGGAATCCACAGTTTTTTGTTGAAAGACATGTTCATCACACTGTTGGAGTTATGGTTTGGGGTAGTATAGCTTATGGTTCCAGGTCACCTTTAATCTTCATCAGAGGTAACATGAACGCACAGCGTTATATCCACGAAGTTCTAGAACCCCATCTTTTACCCTATCTTGACACCCTGGCAGATCCAACTTTCCAACAAGATAATGCCCGACCACATGTTGCAAGAGTCACAATAGACTTCTTTCAACATAATGATGTCACATTGTTACCATGGCCACCAAGATCTCCCGACTTATCCCCATTTGAGCACGTGTGGGATATGATGGGTAGGAGATTGCTCAATTTGCAACGTCCTCCTCAGACTCTAGAAGCACTTCG